AGAGAGAGAGAGAGAGAGAGAGAGAGAGAGAGAGAGAGAGAGAGAGACTCAGGTAATCATGTTTTGGGATAATGCAGTCACTTTGTTACTTCCAAAAATGTTGTAGTTTCTGTTTTCATTTTCTCTTTTATCTATGAGTATTTAAGAGAATGTTCCTCTTAAATTTCCAAGTAGTAAAAATATTTTGACAATCTTTCATTATTTTTAATTTTACTGGCTTATAATGAGAAAGCACAAACTCTAAAATTCTCTGATTCTTTAAATTTATGAAATTTTCCTCTAAGAAAAAGAACACAATTGATAGGAATTTGAAAATAATTTATATTTTAAATATGTATAGACATATATATGGTAGTACATTGAACTTGATGGTTATATTAATCAAATCATCTCTTCTGTAAATTTTTTTGTCTAATTGATACCTCAAATTCTAAATGAGGAATATTATAATCTTTCATTATGATGGTTGTTTATATCAAATCTTGTGTAAGAGTTTTTGCATTAAATGTAAACGTGCTCTAATAATTTAATACATAAAAATTTATGATTCATCTCTTCATTGAGTATTGAAGCAGTTATGCCCCTTCCTTTGATCTTTATTTAATGCTTTTGATGTTGAGTTCCACTTTTTCCTAATTAAACTTAGCAATGTAAGTAACTAACACACATTCATGATCTCACCCTTTCAGTGTTTTAGGTAACTGAGCATGGCCTAACTGGGTCTTTTCTTCAGAATGTCTCATAAGATTGCACCCAAAGTGTCTACTCAGGGTTTCACAGTGCAATCAAGGTGTACTGGGGCTCTGGTCTCATCTCAAGGTTCAACTAAGACAGAATGCACTCCCAACCTCACTTACATTGTTGTTGGCAGAATTCAGTTCCTTGCTGGCTTTTAGACTAAGGGCCTTGGTCCCTTGCCAGGCAGCCTGCTGTATCAGAGTAATCATACAGGAAGAGCCAGAGAGAGCATAAAACAAGACACAGAAACTAGTCTTTTGTAACCTAATTGTGAAGGTGGCTTCCCATTAATTTGGCCATAGTACATTTTTTTACAAGCAAGTCACTTGGTCCTATACACACAAGAGGAAGGATTTACACAAAGAAGTGAACATCAGGAGGTAGGGATCATTGGGAACCATTTCACAAGCCACCTACCACAGATGGTTATAGGATTTTTAGTTAACAGTTCTTTTCTCTCATGTTGTAGATGAAGTCTAATCCTAATTTGTTTCCTTTTATATGTATATTAGAATCCAACAAAATACAAAACATCTCTGTGTATTTAAAATAGACCAAATGTGATATTCCAGGGAATATATTACACAAATAATGGAAGAACTGATAAACCAAACGGGACAATGAGGGACATCCTAGAGACTAGCTATCGTCGGAAGTTACTACTATCCCTAGGCTGGAAGGTCAAACAAAGTAAATGGTGTTACTGGAGCCCAAGGATCAGGGTTACCCAGTGGAAGCTGCAACCACTATCAGAGATGTTAAGACAGAGAGGAAGGTGGAGAAATACTTTGGTTTCTCTCTGCCCCCTGCCTTCAGCCTTCCACCAGTGCCTCCTACTGGCCAAAGCCTGCTAGAAACCAGAATGTGTTCTGTTTAAAACTTGTGAGATCTTCTCTTTATCCTTGGAATTCAAGGCTTTCACAAGGAAAGGTTTGGGTATGGGTCTTTTTTTCACTATCATTATCATTCATGAGACTCAGTAAACACTTTCAATTTATAAACCAAAATTTTTCTTAAACTCAGGGAAATTTTCTTCTATTATTTATTTTCCTCCTTTTCTTAAGTTCACTTTGCCTTTCTGGAATCCTATTATTTTTATGACAAACCTTATGGACCTGTTCTTTAAGTCTTTTAACCCTCAGGATTTCTACTTATTTATATTTTGCAAAATCTATTGAAGATATTTCTTCTACTTTATCTTCAAGATTACTAATTTGGTTTTTAGTTGGTGCTCATCCTCTTTTTCAGATTATTACAATATTAAATTTTTAAATTTTAAAATCATGTTTTTTAGTTCTACAATGTCTTTTTTTGCTCTAATTGCTCACTTTTAAAAGCTCTCATTGTTTTTTGTAATAGTTCATTATTTTATAAACATGTATATGACACAGTATGTCAAGTTCTATCTGAAACATTTTACAAATATTAACTTGTTTATTCATTTAATAATTTTCTCTGAATTGTCCTGTAGTTCCCCATCAAAAGAAGCCACCTATCTAGTTGTGTGAATTAGTCATCCTACTTATAATTAATAGATTTCCCTAATGGTCATTTTCCTTTGTCTGCTCATGATTTTGACTTCTTAGCAAGTAGGTCAGATTATTAAGTTCTCCTAAGCAGTGATAAACCAGTTTTTGCTCTTCTGGGTCAAAAGTAAATTCTATAAAAGAGCCATTATGCCTTTGCTGAGATGCAGGGAGGAAACCTCTTTGCACCACATTTTCCTGAGGCTAAGTGGCAATCTCTTCCAATCATAGTGGCTGAAAGCAACTCAGTCCAGCAAAGTAGATGACAATGATGGGCCTCAAGGAAATCTACTTTGAGTAGAGTTTTGTGCATGGTGAGAGATAGGGATTTAGTTTCATTCTACTACATATCACTTTTCAGTTTTCCCAGCACCATTTGTTAAATAGGCTATCTTTTCTCCAATGTATATTTATGGCTCCTTTGTCTAATATGAGATAACTGAATTTATGTGGGCATGCCTCTGTATCTTCTATTCTGTTCTATTGTTCTTCATGTCTGTTTTGTGCCAATACCATGTCATTTTTATTACCATAGCTCTGTAGTATAATTTAAGTTCTGGTATTGTGATGTCTCCTATATCACTTTTCTGGCTAAGGATCTCTTTGGCTATTCAGGGCCTCTTATTTTTTTATAAATATATATTTTTAATATCTTTATTTTATTTACTTATTTTTATGTGGTGCTGAGGATCGAACCGAGGGCCCTGCACATGCTAGGCAAGCACTCTACCACTGAGCCACAACTCCAGCCCCAGGGCCTCTTATTTTTCCAAATGAATTTCATGATTGCTTTTTCTATTTCTATGGAGAACATCATTGAAACTTTAACAGGAATTGCACTGAATCTGTACAGCAATTTTGGTAGTATGGCCATTTTGACAATATAAATTTTCCCTATCTAAGAACATGGAGGATCTTTCCATTTTCTGAGGTCTTCTTCAATTTTTTCCTTTAGAGTTCTATAGTTTTCATTGTAGAGATGACCAACATCTTAATGATAAATTCCTTGAAGCAAGGGTGGCAAATTCAAAGAGAAGGGTCAAGAAGGTATGAAGAAAGGCCCAGGAGTAAGGGCATAAGCATTCACTGAATAAGTGGTAAGGACTGGTATGAATTCCAGAAGGCAGGCTACTCATCTCTAGTCTACACTGTAGTGGGTAAATTCAGTCTGATCCAGAGCCTACATTTTAACCATAATGTCAGGCAACCAGCATTTAGTATTAGACCTGTACTGATACCACCATTCATCATACAGTAAAAAGGCTACAATGAGACATGGAATGACACTACCATTCTTAGGTACTTATAAAAACCACAAGGAAATTTAAGGTCTAGTATTGTGATTCCTCCTATATCACTTTTCTCGCTAAGGATCTCTTTGGTATGCTGGGCCTCTTATTTTTCCAAATGAATTTCATGACTGCTTTTTCTATTTCTATGGAGAACATCATTGGAACTTTAACAGGAATTGCACTAAATTTGTATACTTTTGGTAGTATGGCCATTTTGACAATATTAACTTTCCCTATCTAAGAACATGGGGGATCTGTTTTTAGCACCATAATAAGATTCAATGTCAACTTTCACTATATCAAGCAAAAACATTTGTCTAAACCAGGGCCATCATTGTACCATCATTTAGTTTACTAGGAGCTAATCTCTAATATAATCATGACCTATATTCAAACCAACATTTTACACTCTATGAGAAACCATTAACCAAGAAGAAGGTCTACGGTTGGGGACAAGTTTCAGTGGTAAAGTGCTTGCCTAATATGTGCAAGATCTTGAGTTTCATCCCCAGCACCACTAAAAGAAAAATGGTATGCATTCTCCCAATATCAAGACAAAACTGTGGCAATAACTTTTCTCAGGTAGCCACAATATAGACTCACCCAAAAGCAGGACCTTAACAGACACTACCAATTCACCCCTGATGATTCTAAAGTCCATGTCCATAACACTACTTAGCATGTCATGAGACAGCCTCTACTCAGATATGCCACACAATTCAGTATAACAGGGGAGCCCTAGACCATATAAGGGTTTAATTTATGTCACAACTCAGTGAAATAGAAGATAGCCCAGTCACTGCTCAGAACTGATGTCTCTTACCGTTACTGAACACACCATGAGAAATTCAGTGTTCAAGAAGGAACCCATACCAATATCACCACTCAGCCCCCTGATCAGCTCAGAGTCTTCATCCATTCCATTTACTCAGAGACTCAAAAGCCAGGTCTTATCCAGAACATGGCACAAGTATACCCCATTTTTCAGCATACCTAAAGACAAGTCTCACACTTCTCTGTGTACCATGAAACATATCACACTTCACACACCAGGGGATAGGTCCTGATCTATTACTTATTCAGCACATCAACAAA